GGAGCGCATGTGGCGCAGTGGTTAGAGGTGCCCTGCGTCGCACACGAGGTCAATGGTTCGATCTCGCGCTCATGGCTCACCAAGCCATCCATCCCTCCGGGGTCGGTAAATTGGTACCAGACAGGTCTCAGACTTGTCTGGGAGGATAAGCAGCACTGACTCGGTTCAGCGGGAGGCCACCGCGAGTCATTGTAAAGGCCAGATGTGCATTCAATCACCTCAAACGAAGTTAAAAATTGAAGTCGAATGCATGGCGCATCCCTCAGGGATTGATCAACGCCGAGAGCTTTATCCTTTTTTTATATTACACTATAGTACATATTATATTGCTAATATAAACTATATTTATATTTATACTAGATATATTTTTATGTTTTATTTACTTATTTGTTATTTGTTTATTTTTATTTATTATTGATTTTTTCAATGATTTTCGCGATTTATTTATACGAAATATACGCATAATATAAATCGAGGCGAAAGGCAAGTGTGATACAAAATTTTATTTTGGATGTTACATCATTATAAAAGAGTGTTTTGAAAAGTCGGCGACGTGTAGTTGTAGCCAGAGATTTCAGCTTTCTAATGACTACTAACGCTCCGATGAAAATTTCTTCTCCAGCGAATTGGATCGGTTTAAAAAATAACTTGCCGCCTAACATATGAGTCCGCCTTCAACTTCACCAAGCCTTGATAGAGGTGGCTAAATGCATACTTGATCTTCACAATGACTCGCAGTGATCTACCGCTGTATCAAATCTGTGTTAGCTACCCTCCCAGGCAAGTCGGGAACCAAGTCACCGACCACGGAGGGATGGAAGGCTTGGTTAACGCTGAGCTCGAGGTCAAACCATTAAATGAGAGTGTACAGGGCGGCACCCCTACCCCTGCGCCAAATGCACCAAAGAGAAGCGACAAGTTAACAACAGTGGCTTAACACTAAAATCTCGACAAAGACAAAGACGACAGCAATGCGTTTTTTGTGAATGTGTTTTGTTACCACCCATAAAAAGTCCAACATGGACTACCTTCGGAGTGAAAACACTCACGAGGGTGAAGGTGGAAGTCTACTAGATGTGGTTAAGCTAGGCAGGCTTAAAAACCAAGTAAACAAGTAAACAAACAAACAAATAAACAAACAAAAACAACGACATTAAGCAAGGCAAGGTTGGTCTGCATTTGTGCGTCCGGCTATAAGCCTCGTACGTAATCAGCATTTAGCTTCACGACTATTCTCAATTACTGTAGAGTTTCTCAAATCTCCTGCTGAGCAGCCATTGCGAACTGAGGCTTACTAGATGTGGCAGTCCTGATTACAAATGAAACGGATAAACAACTAGATGAATAAACAAGTAAACAAACAAACAAACAAACAAACAACCACATTCAGCGAACCAAGATTGGTTAGCATTTGCGCGTGTGTCTGTAAGCAATGTACGTAATCGCCATTTAGGTGACGACTACTCTCGATTACGGTAGATTTTCGCTGCCGTCGTTATTTAGCCTCTGCCTGGAGATGTCCTCACCAAACACCTTGCTGCGATAAGGTCAGAAAGCTCTCTGTTATTCCTTCAATATATTTAGAAAACGATTTCTCGACTTCCTGTTTTTTTACTCTATCTTTTTATGGTGCTTGTGGGGCAGTGGTCAGAGGTGCTCTGCGTCGCACGCGAGGTCAATGGTTCGATCTCGCCCTCATGGCTCACCAAGCCATTTATCGCTCCTGGGTCGGAGAATTGGCACCAGACTTGTCTGGTCGATAAGCAGCGCTGACTTCGTGCAGCGGGAGGCCGGCGCGAGTCATTGTAAGGGCCAGATTTGCATTGAAATCACTTCAAAAGATCTTTGATGAAGTCGAATGCATGGCACGTCCCTAAGAATCGATCAAGTCTGAGAGCTATTCTTTTTTTATTGTCTTTTATTTCGCATTTCCTCATATTTTTATTCTTATTTCGTTTTTATTCGTGCAAAATCTGTCTCGATTCTTGAGGAGTTTGGCGAGTAACCAACTAATGTTCTCTCGTAATTGATTTATCAAGATAACCCCATATATTTCGATTTTCCCTTCTGTTGTTTATCCATTGGCCTTTTTTTTCATGTTTTTCATTGCTTACTATTGTACCCATTGATGTAGGGCGATGTGCAAAACTCTAACGTTGGCTGGGACTCGAACCCCCATCACTTTGTCTCTCCGGGAGCTTGTGCTTTAACCCGTTGCACTACCGACTGTCCTGCCGCCACACTTTCTGTGCTACAATGCATCTGTCTATCAGCAACCAGCCGTCAACAGTTTAGCCTAGGTAGTCGATATCAACATTCAGCCCGTCAGTATAGTACGCAGTCCACAGATAGGGCGAAATGCGGGTTCGAGTCTCTCTTGGCGCAAAAGTTTTACACATCACTCAACATCATTGGAATTCGATAATCAGTCAAAATTCTTTTATTTGACTGCCACTTGCAGTGGTATGATGTAATAGTATACCCAATAATGTGGAGTGCTGTGCAAAAACGTTTGCGTCGGCCGGGATTTGAACCAAGATCTCACTCTTTCCGGGAGCGTATGCTAACCGTTGCACCACCGACGCTCGTTTTGCGCAGCACTCTTATTTACGCTATAACGGAAAGAGTGAGATCTTGGTTCAAATCCCGGCTGACGCAAATATTTTTGCACAGCAGTCCACATTATTGGGTCTACTGTCATTGGAATTTTTTTAACGTCAATCCACCGCTATAAGACGATTACGTAAGAATGATTTCTGTCTTTAACATATATGTATGTATATATATACATATGCATGTGTATGTATATACAAATATATGTACATGTATCCAATATCTAAGCATAACTGGTTTGCTTGTCGATATCGACTGCCCTAGCTAAGCACTTGACGATTGGTTGCTGACGTATAGATGCGTTGTAGCGGAGAAAGAGTAATGAGCAAAATGAGCGTCAGTAGTGCAGCGGGCTAAAACACGCGCTCCTGGATAGAGAGCGAGATGTGGGTTCGAGTCCCGCCTAACACGAAAGTTTTGCACATCACTCTACATCGGCGGGTACATTTGTAACATTTACCATCGCTAGGAGCGGTCAAATCAAAGGCGAATTTTATTTGTTTATCATTAGGTCGTTCCATAAGTTTTGGCTCTGGAGCAACAAATCCCAAATTTCTTTTTATTTAACTGCCACTTGCAGTGGTATGATGTTATAGTATACCCAATAATGTGGAGTGCTGTGCAAAAACATTTGCGTTAGTCGGGATTCGAATCCAGATCTTACTCTTTCCGGTAGCGGTATGCTAATCGTTGCATCACCAAATCCCAAATTTACTAACCAGAATTAATTAAAAATGCAATATTTAGGTACCGTTCAATTGCGCATTTTCTTGCGAACATTTTGATATACAACTTGTCTATACTTGCTTCAAGGTGGAGCTGTCGTGGAAACAGACCCTCTATTCATGCACAAATGGCGCGTAGGAAGCAATGCTACTGTAACGGCGCGCAGGATTAATGGAGCTTCCTGTGGGCGGTCTGAGCGCTACTAATCCTCCAGACTTCTTTCCAGCTTTGAACTTCGCGAACCACTTCCTGGCCGTCCTTGCTGCAACCCTATCATCGCCCCAAGCTCCATCAATCTTGCGCGCCGCTTCACTAGCATTGACCAATACGTGCCATTCCCTGCAGGAGTATCAGGCGAATTTGTTCCCACAGCAGGTCCATTTTGAGGCAAGCATAGGCAAAATGTAGACCAGAGTGCTTGCAAGAAAATGCTCAATTGTACGGTACCAAAGTCATGCAATTTTAGTCATTTCAGCTTGGTATATTTGGTGTTTATTGCTCTGGTGCCAAAGCTTATAGAAACTACTTGATATTTATCGTCCAGAATCTCCTCGTGTAGCCCAAATGAGTTCCATTAGCGAAAATATTTTCGTAAAGCGAATCTCTCGGTGAAGCCAATCGCTAAATCTCTTTTTCTTAGCCTACTGAACGTAGGAGTCTTTTCATTGACGTCGGCAATGGCACTTTCTTTAAATACGAAGAAAGCATCAATACTCCCTTCCACATATTCGTATAAAATTGTCGAAGTTCTAACAATGTTCCGAAGCTATCTAAGTGGCATTTTGAAAAGCGACTCCTTCCTCAAATGCCTTGCTCCAATGTTTGAGTACTTTTCCGTTATTGGAAATAGGTTTTTTTGAAGGAGTCTTTTTCGCTGGGCAAAAAATTTTCACTGGACTTTTAGCAGTCATTGAAAGGTTAATCCTAGGAGAATCCGAAAGCATATTTGTTTTTTAGAGAGTTCGCGTTACGGCGCTCTCGGAGGTTTCAGCATTATATTGGTTTTTCAAGAAGGCCTTTTCATCGCGCTGCATTAGGGAAATTAAATTTATTGAAATCGCCGAGATTTACGTTGTCGAATAAAGATCAGCGGTCTGGGAGGAAAAGTTCTTTCCAGCGAAAAAAACGCGCGTAGCGTGTGAAGCGTAACTTTATTTTCACTGCTTGCGGTGTTAGTCTTTCTGGAGAAACTAAGTATTCTCCAAAGTTTTCCATGATTTAAGCCTTCGAACGATCGCTCACGTTCAGTGGATATTTTTTGCTAAGCTAGAAAGGCTCATTGGGGAAAACCCTTACCGATACAGTGTCATCGTTTCCTGATAATCATAGCTCATATCACAAGGTTAATGAGTAGAATCCAATCGGCTGACGTTTTGACGCGTTTCATCTTCTTCAAAGCCATTATCCGAGATCGTTGTCGCTCAGGCCGAATCCTCTTCGACGGAGCACCCGCTCGAATGAAGAACCTCAACCACCGATGTATTCATATGCAGATTGGATCGTATGAAATTTGCCTATGGTACTGATTTCTTCCCTTCGAAAATCTATCATGGAGCCGTGGTCGAGAGGTTGTGGTGTTCGTCGCGGCGCGCGTGAGTCAAAGCTTAACCTCCTAACTCTCGTCGGCAGTCAACAACGAACGCCCAGTGGAACGCCACAGACAGGCTATCCTCGAGATTGCAGGGAGACTCACTCAACCAGTTTTCTACGGCGTTCAAGAAGAAGACGAAACAACGTATCAAATGCAAGAAGGACTGGCATTCGCACAGTGGAAAAAGCATTGATGACGGATCAATAAGGTGTCCGAAAAAGAGTGTGGAAAACCTGTCTGGCAGAGTATTCTAGTAACATATTTTTAGTCCTCTCACGAGGTCTGATATAGCACTTACACAATATTAGGCACGTGTTGCGGCCTTGGAGCCTCATCAGCACCACGGTTGCTTTCGGTTCAGCTAGTTTTTTGCGGGGAAATAAACCCTTGTATATAAAGGAACCGATGCCGAATTATTCGCAAAATCATCACTTGTCAGGTGATAAAATGCCTCGACCAGTGCAGTAACCAACAGTCGATCGCTCATGGCTGGTAAAATGAATCATACCTCGACATTCAACTGTTCTTGTAGATTTGTTTTTATTACCTGATATGCGGTAATTCTGATAATAATTCGGCCTTCGATTCATTCTTGTGTCGGGGTTTATTTTCCTGCAAGGGATTGGTTGAATACCAAAGCACCATGCTAGTGATGATGCTGTAAGGCCGAAACACGTGTAAAGCACTATTCAGTGCCATAACAGATCTCGTGGAAGGCTCGAAGTATGTTAGCACATTCCCATATGCCTGATAGTTTATTTTTGAGCCATGCACATGGTCTGTTATGGGCACTTCTACAGTTCACTTCACACGTGTTTCGACCTTACAGCGTCATCAGTTGCACGGTGACTTTCGAGTGTACAACACTACCCGCTCGGTGATTTGATCACTCATTGACTCGTGTGAAACGTTCGTCAACGGATCTCTATCTGAAAGGTCCCTCATCCGGAGAGGATTGACTAAGAGAAAGGCAGTGCGCTGCTGACGAGGCTGTGCAAGGCCGAAACATGTGTATTGAGCGATATAAGCGCCCATAACAGGCCTACATGCATGGCTCAAAAATTAACTATCAGGCATATTGAAGTTTGAGCGTTTTCTAAAGAAACGTTTGAAAACTAAGGGCATGTTTATCAGATTATATATTGCTCTGAGCGAGGGTCTATGAGAACAGTCGAATATAAAAGGCCATCCTCTGTTCATGATCATTGTCGAGTGAGTCTCTTCTCCTGAGCGACTTTCCACAGGTGAGATTTTGTTTCTAACAAAAACAAAGACGAAGACCACAACGAGCACGAACGACTATGGGCGATCCACTCGAATTATGGACTCTGAAGAAGTCGAAAGGCGTCAAAACGTTAACTGAGTAAAATTTTTGATTCCTATCCATTATAAGACGTTAAGTGAAAAACCCGATCTCATTTGCTGGACAGAACTTTTCGTAGAAGTGTGAGTATTCATTTGGAAGCCTAAATCTCTGGCTTAAGCGCCACATGTCCGGTTTTCTAAAAGATCTTTTTATAACGCTGTAAAGCTCAAAATAAAACTATGTCTCACACGCGCAGATTTCTCGCCGGACAGAGCTTTTTCTTTGAGCTACTGGTCATCATTCGATAGCGTAGAGTTTGCTTATTTCTAACGCCATGCTTTTTTTTTTGCGGGAAAAACTGTTTCTCTGCAGGGCTGGAAGGAAAATAAATTGAGTTCTTATGCGCGAGCAAATGGTCTTTGGCGAATTCGCGAGCCGCTGGTTTAGATGGAATGTGGGTTACGGCGGCGGTCGATCCATTTTCGATCGGTCTTTACGATAGTGCGATCTTTGTTATTCATTTACGAATTGTCTTCTCACTTTTGAAAGAAAACTTTCAGATAAAACTGCTATCAAGAGACTTTTAACGCTTCAATTTTCCTTTGAATACGGATAAATCAATCATCATCATTATCATCATGTGGAAATCGGAGGGGCAGAACGTCTCAGTTGTTTCCCGACAGTGACTCTCGAAGACATTCAATACTACGAGATTTTCTCTACTAGTTCGTTTCCTCGAAAATCGGTCGATCATCGCCTCAGCCCACCTAGCAGACTGACCTAGGCGGCCTGTAAATTGTCCAGAAACCATGTGCTCGTGTATGCGAATTCAGCTCATTTTCTGGCTGCCTGCAGAGAAACTATCTCTCCAAAAATAAGCAAAGCGTTGAAATCACCAAACATCACGCTATCAAATGATTGCCAATAGTCCAAAGAAAGAGCTCTTCCTCGGCGAGAAATCTGCGTGCGTAGACCTCGGGGGATTTCCTTCTGCAGCAACGTCAAAAAAGGCTTTTTCTAGAATCGGCCACGTCGGCCTGCAGCCAGAGAATCTGTGCTTTCGAATGCTTGCTAACACTCCTATGAAAATTTTCTGTTCGGCGAGTGAGATCGGTTTTCCAATTGTCCCCGTCATAATGGACAAGTACCAAATTTTATACCACCCTGCTGCTAATCTTGAAAGAAATAATAAGCTGTGTAGTGTTTTTCTCAAAAGCTGATTTATGAAGATGACTCTGCACACGGTTGGTCTTTCCATCTTTTCTTTACAGAATCACATGGGTGCATCGTCACGTGCATCCAGAAAACGCCGTGGAGACGATGATGACTCGGACGATGGCGGGGGACGTCGTAATAGAGACCGGTATCGTTCGGGTTCTCGGTCAAGATCGCGATCACCGTCACCAAACCAGAAGAAGTGAGCATTGACCTTTTGATATATATATATATATTATATATATATATATATTATATATATAGTATATATATAATATATACATGAGATTTTTGTATTTTATATCCAATAATGCTGAGTGATATGCAACGCTTTGCACCTTGAGTGAGAGTTTGGACCCACGTCCTCAGTACGTTCCGGAGAGCGGTGCTGAGCACTACAATACTACAAGCTTCTCTTGTGTCGTCACTCTCAAGCAAGTCAGAACCGTTACCGCGGTTTTTGTTAGAATCGATACATTGTGTCGCAGAAAGAGTGGTAACAAGAGCCCTGCTAGTGCAGTGTTAGCACGCGCCCCTCGAAAGAGTGAGACGTCAGTTCTAATCTCACTCGAG